TGCATCTAATGCTGGCCAAGATCATCATAATGCAGGCCAAAATTGGTTTAGTGCGGGCCAGGGGTGCTTATTTTCGGAACTATACGGTATTTCCTCTAAGATTTGCTTGGAATACAATAGACACTTTAAAGGGTCTTAATGCTCAAAGAGCAATTGTAGGGGTAGAACCTCATTGGAGTATGAAAGGAAGAACATCAAATATTTTAATTTTGACTAATAATTTTTTGGGGTTTGAGGTGATTATATATTTAATTCTTGGTTATCATTTAGCAAGTTAACAAAATATACAAATATACACATTTTAAGCTAAATATTATATATCATTTTATGATTATTCTGTAGATACCAAGTGCTAACTCACCACTCCATCATGAAATTGGACCTATTCTACCAGACACTTTTCCAGGTCTAACACCAGTTCTTGACTCATTTCTTACAACTCATTCTCGAACAATATATTTTGCATTTGGGACTAATGCAATTATACCTCCTCAAAAAGTTATCATCATTTTAAAATCTTTTCTTGAATTAATAGATCAAAACGTTATTGATGGAGTGATTTGGTCTTATGGAAATACAGATATAACAAATTTTCCTCATTTAATTAATTCAAGCATCCCATTATCTACTATATTAAACAACGAACATCCTCATATTCATATCTCTAAACACTTACCTCAATTTGCAATATTATCACATGAAAATACTAAAGTATTTTTAAGTCATGGTGACATGAATAGTTGCCACGAATCTATGTATACAGCAACTCGGATGCTCGTCCTTCCTATATTTGATGATCAACATAGAAACACAGAAAAGTTAGAACTTGCTGGTATAGCTTTAAGACTTTCAAAGATTAATTTACAAGTTGATGATATAGTATCAAAGATTAAGAGATTATTAAATGAAGAAATCTTCAAGAAGAATGCAGAAAGATTGCAATTTTTGGCCAAAGTTAACAGTAAAAGAAAATATAGAGGTGCCGATTTAATTGAAATAATGATGAATACGGTAAAGTACAAAGGAGTTAAAGATGAAAATGGAGGGTTTAAGATTGATAATGAAAACTTATTAAGTGATTGGATTACTCCTGATACGAGAATGTGTTTTATTAGGGGAAATTATTTAGATGTTTATGGAGTTGCATTTGTTATATTTTTAGTGTTAAGTGGTGGTTTTGCCTATGCTTTATTAACAATTGTTAGATTCTTTTATCTTAGATTTAGAAGCGGAAATGGAAATTCTCAAACATCCTTAAAACCCAAAAGAGAGTAATCTAGTACGCATTAAAACTTCTATGTATTTATTATACATTTTATATCATTTATCAGTTTTAAATAAAATTTTTGGTTTTTTACATTATATTATGATTTGGTGTCTTCTTTACTTTTGCATTATAATATAAAAACAGTCATTTATATATAATAAGTAGGCATTAAAAACGCTTTAAAAGTTTTAAAATCAGAAAATCATCGAATTTTGTGTTTTTTTCTCAAATAACTCACAACATTATAATGATTTCATTATCATGTACAGTATAACCTCGATATAACGAAGCTCTGGAGCTGGAGGTTTTCTTCGTTTCTTATAGATTCGTTATATCGAGGCTAATTTAAATATAAAAATTTGGAATGACCTTCGTTATACAATTAGTGTTCGCTATATCGAGGTTCGTTATATCGAGGTTATACTGTATAATCTGTGTAATCATTTAAAATATATCAGAAATTCTGAATCACCCCTCATTACTGGAACTTTTATAAATTTTATAGTATTAAAATGTTAGAAAAATGCAATTTTGATAAATACTGATAAGTAAATTAGTCGCATGTCCGTAAATTGGTTTCATATTCGGTCAATGTCATTTTAATTAAAGTACATTTATTAATAAACCAACTTGTAATATATAAGATATTAGTTTATAAATTTATTAATTTGTATTTGCTAAATTATTTATATAACATAATAATTAATAGTCTGGCTAGTAGACAGTTTTAAAATTAGAGCTTAAATTAATTGATACTTCACTAATAAAATAATAAATATTATTTTAATATAAATCTTTTTAACCATCTTTTCAAGACTATTTTTTTTATCACTCAAATATATATATAAATTTTGTTGCAATGCAATTATTTTAATATTTTATTTAGCTATTTGCTATTTTAACCATGGTAATTTGCTATTTCCACCATGGATATATAGATCATAACCAGAATTAGGGTTAGGATCAGGGATCAGATTTTATAACGTTAGTCATTTCATAGTGGAAATAGCAAATTACTATAGTAGAAAGAGTAATTCTCTTTATTTATTAAATTGTTTTGTTGACACATAGAAATTAATTTGTAATTAATCAAAATACAGTCGTCCCTCATTAATATCAACCTATTTGGATCGCTTTTATATTCATGTTGATAGTGATATTAACGAGGGAGCATATTAAAGTTGATATATAGGAGGGAATTTTAATATCATTTAACATATAGAAATTCATTTTATATCCTAGGTTGATATTAACGGGGTTGATATTAATGAGGGACGACTGTATACTATCACGTATAGAAAGGACCTTTAATGTTTATCCAATCCAAATGCTTGCTGGTTAGCAGAAATAGTTTAATAACTCCAGTTAACTAGTTTTACTAAACTGATTAGATAAGTTTTATAAATAGTTTCATGAAACTAGGTAAAATCTGATGTTGCTAGTTTTTAGTAATAATAATATCCTGATCCGTTGGGAATTAGCGGTTAGCGGAAACTCCGTTTCCGCTTATTCACATACGGTCAGGGTATTAATGGTTTAACATCCCTAACTGTACTAAATGTACTTTATTGCATATATCAGTGCAGATTACAACTGTGCTGCTGTCGATATAATTTCGGGTAACTTTTTTTTTTTGATAAGATTTATGATATGATGTAATTTATCATTATAAATATTAAAAACAAAATAGAAAATAATCCAATTTATAATATCGTTATCATTATTATTATCATTATGTTGCCACGAAACAAATTTAGAAATGTTATACAAAAAAGAAAAGTTACTAAAACGTAAGCATAATTCATATTCTATCGAACAAAAGAAACAAGTTGTCGCCTATGCTAAAGAAAATAGGAGAAATAAAGCCGCGGCAGCCTTTAAGCTTGATCCTAGTATGGTTGGCCGTTGGATTAAAGCAAGTAGGCTATGGGAGCTGAGATAAAACAAAGCACCAAACGAGTTGGTTCTGGTCGAAAAGAATTTTACGCTAGGGCAGAAAAAAGACTATATGATTGGATTATAGGACGGAAAAAATAGGATTGTGTGTTTCTTATGAGATCGCACGCATTAAGATGCTTAATATTTTAAAGGAACCTGATACGATAACTCTTTTATAGCAATTCAACGAACAATTTTAAAACATTAAAATTTATTAATGTGAAATCAGAGAGGCAAAACTAATATAAACGTGGGGGTGCTTATTTTTGGAGAAGGTACCAACTGTCGGTGGTGCTTAATTTCGGGGGGTGCTTAATTTCGGAACTATACGGTATTTAACTGGTTGTTGCTCACTTTCCCGAAGTCCATTTTTCTTAAAT